AATAGATTTCTCGATGTGATAGCCTCTGATGCATCGAACTTGAAGAGATTTATCGACGTGATAGCCTTTGATTGACAGTTTGAAGAGATTAATCAACGTGATAACCTCTGATTGGTCTAGCTTGAAGAGATTAATTGACATGATAACCTCTGATTGGTAACTTTGAGGGAATGCCCCAGATTTGGCTGAGCTTGGAGAGATTGATTCTCGACTTGATTGCCCCAGATTGACAGGCTCTGCTAACTTCATCCATGAATGGTACTCAGACTGTGAAGTACCAAGATGATTTCTCTTGACAGAATCACCGGTCAACATGCTACTGGATAAGTCATTTCTCTTGTGGCAGCTGACTCTTGCTTCAACAGGGTATTCAAGCCTCTCTTCTCTGACAAGATTGAGCTCTTTACCGGTTGTTCATTGTGTAAACTTACTTGATGTCAACCAGTTTTTTGTATGCAGAATAATGTTTATTATGAGAATGATAATTCTAATGCAACACATATGCAAGTCTTGAAGTTTGAAAAGAAACTTTGAATGAAATGACGTCATGACTCTGTTGTGAACGAGTCACTAGCTAGAGAGAAAGATTTGCAAATTCTTTTTTATGAAAGATAATGCAAGCATATGATGCCAAAACAGATATTGGAACATACCTCTTAGGAGTCAGTTAAACGCTATCTCGTTGTAGCACGCTTTCGAATTGACCCATGCTTCAATTAGGACTTTTATGGGTTGTAACGTGGCCTGGTTCACGGTTTTTTAGAAAAAAGGATTTAAGGCTCAAAATTATTTGGTGCCCACCCATTCTCCATGATATTCTCCATTCCTATGTTCAGTTGACCTGATATAAGCGTTCATCTCTCGAGAAGAGTTTGCAATAATTGAGGAACCACAGTGGTTTCTTGGACACGACAGTCACTAACTTCTGATTTTGGTGTCTGATCAGACGACCTTGTTCTTTGATGAGGATTTTCGTTGGTAATCCTTTTCTCGCCTTTTAGGCTTTTCAATTTCTTCTTTCTTTCCATAATTTTTGCCTGGACAAGTTCTTTTGAATTTCGATTTGGAAGTCCAGCGGGATGCCCCAATTTTTGCCTAAGCGACTTGTTTTCAAGTTTTGACTTAGCGGGGATTTTTGTTTCTTTCTTATTCATATTTTTAATTTTGAACAAGTCGTTGATCTTTGCGTTGTCTTGATTTGTTGGAAGTGATCGTGACTGCCTGAGTCTTTAGCAAATGATGGATAGCCATTGTTGTATCGTCATCTGTCGACCTCCTGATGTGCGAGGGATACTCATTGGGGTATCGTTAGTTGATGCATGTTGTTGATAGATGAGGGTGAACCATTGTGGTTTTTACTTTCCTCAATCTTTTGATGGATAACCATTGTTGTATCCTTGGATGCACACTCTTGATGAGTTCTGAATGCTTGAACAGATTAGATGAACACTACCCGCCCCAAGGTTAAAATGAGGGTTTTTTCTGAACAGAAAGGAAACTCCTACTTCGAAGGCTCAGAGGGGTTGACGAGGGTCTATCTCCCTTATATCTCCGGTGTTTGGGGATTGAAACAAGGCATGTACATCGTCAGCAGGGTCTTACTCGAAAGCGTACCAACCAGAGATTTTGCGTTTTCAGATTGTCGTCATCCTCCTTTGAATCTTTACCTGAGCATAAGACTAAGAAATCTGGCATCAATATGCAAGTAAAATATTTAAAGAGTGATAACGAATGGATGAGTAAAAATGAAAGGAACACTTCAAGACAAGCATACTTATTGCATTAAGATTTCCGTTCAAAAATAGACAAGTTTCCATATACAAGTAATGTTTAAACAAACAAGCAAGAATGCAAATGAAAATGCAGTTAAAGAAACCAATGATTGCCACTGTTGAGGAGACTTGACTCCATATGGACTTGCTGATTCTAACAACTTTCTGTAGTCTTGATGCTCGACTGTGAGAGAGAATTCCCTTTCAGATCTGATGTGAGCATGACAGTCTCTGAATTGATCCAGTCTTGGACTTGGTCTCTGGATGACATACCTTCTTCAATCGATTGGCTAGGTGCCCCAGTATAATATGCATTACCAAGCATATCATGTCTTAAAGAAATAATAGACATCATCATCGGAGTTTCCATGACCTGGCTTATCTGAGTCTTTAATCCATCATCTTCTTGCTTGAAGAAATTTTGACTACGAGCCAAAGCTTGCATGTACCACTCGGAGTTATTCCATAACTGATCCCTGAGCATGTGTGGTGAGAAATCAGGTTGAACCTTTGAAGAGAACCCCAGGTCTGAATAAGAATCCCCAATCTTCGGGTACCTGTCATGAATGCATGAATATGAATGGGGTGTATGAATGTCATGTTCTGTCATTTCCAAGGAATTTTCGTGTTTTGATTTTGTTTTTGTGCAAGTAAGGGATGGAAAAGTTTTAGCACAAGACTTGCAAATGTGATTCCTTGGAAATAATAGAACATGTATGTTACGCATGTGGTTAGCCGTGTTATGTATGCAAAGGCATGAGATCAAAGAGGATCAGGGTTCCATCATTCCTGAATAAGATTGATGCACTGCTCTGAATCATGTGAGTATCATCAGATCAAAGGTTCGACATAGCTTCTGCATATATAAGAACCAAGTACCCTGTAGATCTCCCATTGTATGGGACTAAGGCTTCTGGAACATCGGATACTATTGAGAATTTTCTGAATATGCTGGGAATACCAAGATTGAAGGCTTGAATAAACCTCCAGGTAAACAAGTCAAGAACTCAGAAAATAAATCTGAGAACCATACGGTCACCAACAAGATATAGCATCTGCATCAAGTCGGAACAGAAATCCAGAATATAGCCATCAGAACCAGTAGTCATTGTCTGAGCATAGTTACCATCTGAACACGAGTAACCATCTGCACATAGTCACCATCTGTACCTGTGATAGAAATTCCCTCCCCACTCACGGATGAAAACTAGGTCAGGGTAAGATAATGGTAACTCGAAAATCACGGGTTTGCCTGAAAGTGCTATGGGCTTGCCCACAGACGTGGGTGCCGATAGTAATTCATTTGAACCTCATCCGAGCATGGTATATGAGATGACTGCACTAATCGGACCACGTCCTATAGCCGTCATGCCCCCACTCTATTCCTAGGTGTCCTAGTGCACTCTGGCCTGGGTATTGGGCCTTTTACCTCAAAAGTGACATCCCAACCCAAACAAGAAGCAAATCCTGTACAGCAGTAGTATATGGAAAATAGTGAAATAAAATGCATACGTATGCTCAAGAATGAGTGAATAAACTGAAAGCATGTAAAAATAAACACTCAAAGAAAAGAAAGCAAGAGCTAGGAGCGACTCCGAGATGGACCAGCATTTGGTCGACCTATTCCCCAGTGAAGTCACCAGCTGAAACAACCGGCTGAAAATCATCAAAACAATGAAGTCGCCATCGAACGTCTTTTATCCCACATGTAGGGAAAGGTAAACATCGAGAAAACCTGAGGAAGGGAGAAGTCACGGTCTTACGACCGAGAGATCGGGTAAGGGAGTCTATTACGCGAGGGGAAGGTATTAGCACCCCATACGCCCGTAGTACTCTATGGTATCCACTCTTGTTATCTATCTTATGGGTGCGTTTAATCTGTGCTTATCGTTTACTATACTACTGGAAGGAGAATGCATGCAAAAGAAAGGGGAAAAGAATGTAGGGAAAATAAAATTGTGCTCGCTTGGGCCCTACCCCAATGCCTACGTATCCGTTTTGAGGAATCAGAGCTACCGTAGTTCGGCTCATATGTTTTTGTTTGTTTGTGTTTTTTTAATGGACAATGTTAATTCCGCCTTCTGCCGCAGCTCGACCTTTGGAGACTTATGCGTTGGTACAGAAGTAAATTAATCGTGTCCTTACCTGAAAAGGTTTTCTTTAAAGGTGCTTGAACGCACAAAAGATTTGAGTTGGTTTGTATTTTGTTGTAGATGTTTTTTTTTGTGGACGAAGTTAATTCCGCCTTCTGCCGCAGCTCGACCTTTGGAGACTTATGCGTTGGCACAGAAGTAAATTAATCGTGTCCTTATATGAAAAGGGTTTCTTAGAGAAATGTTGCTCGAGCGCACAAAATGGTTTGAATTTGTTTTTTGTATTTTTGTTGCAGATAATGACTAGCCGACCTCAAGAGAGAGATATTAGTCATTTTTCTACTTAGTCATGAAAGGAGTCTTTGAGAATTGAACCACACCTATGCTTGAGATGAAGAACAATAAGATCGAGAAGAGACCCGCTTATCATTTCCCGTACTAAGCAAAAGCATGATTCTCATCAGTAGTTTTAAAGTGTTTTAAATTTCAAAAAGAAAAAAAAAGTTTTAGTTTTAAATGCGTATGCAAAAAGGAAAAAAGTCAAATGGGACTAGCTTACTTCTAAACCTAATGTTATTGTGCGTTAGTAGCCCTAAGTCAAGGATGAATGAAAGGGAAATTTCTACCTAATGTTAGCATGCATATGGATTGCGATAAAGTACATAAATGAAAAATAGAGTTGTGACGATACCGAACGGAGGAAGTCCATTTCCTCCTCAAAATTGTGCAAGCGGTAAGAAAATTCTATCAAAGTTTCCTTGGGAGAGCGATTGAAGAATCCACCCCGAGCATTCCACATTGCAAGAGTTATGTCGATGCTATCACAAAAATCTTGACTAGAAAATGGCAATAAAAATGATTACCAAATATGAAAAATAAAATAGAAAAAATTCTAATCTAAATTCTAAAAAAGAAATTCCAAAGAATTCTAAAATATTCTATTGTTTCATTTTATTATCAATTGAGAGAAAAATTAAACTAAAATAAAAACTGAAATAATAATAAAAACAAGTTAGAAGAGTCAGGGGATATGAAGTCTAGAAATATGGGTGTTGAAGTAATGTGATGCATAGCCCAATAGCAAGGGTCCAAATTATTTCTTTTTGTTCAGAAACCAAGAGATATACCAAAAAATATGGTAGCGGGCCTGAAGAGAGTGAGGTTAGGTCCATTCCATCACTAATCCCTCTTACAACAAAAAACTCATATTTATTTTGTATTATTTCAGCATTGTCTAAGAAAAAAATATAAAATAGAAATTGAAGTAAAAATAAAATAAAAGGGAGGATACGGTGTCGTTGCTGCTTAGGGTTAGCATTGTGACTTTTAAGCTTCTGTGAACAAGAATTCATTCCCTTCTTACTCAATTCTGAGCCGCCGCGCCGATCTCACCATTCCCTCATTATCGGCGATTTCTTCCTATCTCCGCCTATCTCTTCCATCGATTTTCGAAACGATGAGACTCGCTTCGCAATCGTCGTTGATAAATCGTTGCTCCGCTGACGGATGAAGCTTCCGAGATCTGGCATGGTGCTGTTGACGGAGTTACTTGGCGGAGACTCGTCGTTTTTGTTTCTCTTATTCTACGCTTTGGCTTCATAATCCGGCCTTCTTCGACTCCGTCATCTCACCTCTCTGCTTCGAAGCTCCGCTTGATTCGCTTCTCTTCATCGTGGATTTGATCGATCACTACACCCACCGTCTCTGTTCCTCTCTTCTCAGTCGGAGTCGCTCCAACGACGATTTGAATGCAAGAGTGAAGCCAGAAATCCAGAGATGTGAATTCAGGTGCGCGTTTCGTTTCTGAATCGCTTTGTTTCGTATATTTCTCTTCTTCTTCCTTTGAGATTTGTGTTTTCTTTCATCTCTGTGTTCTTGTGTACCAGTGTTGTTGTTGATTCTGATTCAGATAATGTGAAGTCGTGGTATTGTAGGTGTGGAGGTTTCTTGCTGCAGATTTTGTTGTAGAAGATGCCTGAAGAATAGATGTTAATGCCTTCAAGATTTGTTGTTGTTGAAGGTTGATTAACAAGTCGATGAAGACGTCGGTGGTGATGATGAACAATCAAGCTGTTGCGGTTGTGGAAAATGATGCTCTATACTTGAAGATTGATGAGAAAATCAAGATGAAGTGAAGACCTTTGACGCCTTCGGAGATGCGGAACCGTGAAAACCAGAGATGAGACTCCTACGCTGATTACGAGTACAGATTGCTTCTGTTTCTTCCATCTTTCCGCTCCTTTCTGTTTTATCAATAACCTGTGTTGATGTTGTTACACAGGAAATTATCGCACCGATCTTGCTGCGTGAAGAGTATCAAAGCGAGGATGGAGATGAATGGAAGATGCACAAGAAATCATTTTTGACGCATTTAGAGATGATGATGCAGGGGTGCAATGAAGATTGACACGCTGGTGATGCGGAAGAAACTTGCAGATAATGAAGGTGCTGATGACGAATACTGCAGATTGTTGAAGGCCTCTGAAGGTGGAAGATAAAAAAGAAAAAGAAATAATGGTAGAGTTTGCAGAGAATTTGAGGGAGAGAAATCGGGAGTGAGGATGAAGAAAGGTTGCTGGTGGATGAAGGTGAGAGAGAGATTGAAACGCCAGTTCCAGTGAGAGATCCATAATTCCTCTTTTGTTGCGTAAGTTTCCAACTGAATTAGAGAATTTATGTTAGAGGTTTTTTTCTTGAGTCTGTTAACCGTTAGTTAACAGTTCAGTTAGAGGTTGTTATGAAGTTAGTTAGAGTTTGGTTAACAATTAGCTTTCTGTTATGGTATGAAGTTGATGAGCTGGCATCGGTTATGGTAGTTATAGGGTGGTTAAGAATTTTTGGTTGTAACTGTTTTTTTGGGTTGGTTAAGTTAGAAAAACTGTTATAAACTCTTTTCTATGTGCAGGGTTATTTTGGAATTGGATTTTTATGAATTTTAAAGTGAAAGCAAGTTACCTAATTTTCCTCTAGTTAAGGCAGTCTTGATATTAATCACCTCTTTTTCCTTTATGCTTGAATAGGTTTGGAAGTGGAGAAGTTGCAAAGGCACAGTTAAGCCATGAAGTAATAAGCATGAAGATTGGTCGTGGAATTAGAAGAATGAGAGTGAAGATGGATAAGTTTTGCATAGGTTTAAGAAGGGTTAACAAGTAGTGAGCTGACTTTGGTCAAAACTTGTAATATTTTTATGTAATTCTGTTTGTTTGTGGTAATGGTGTCAATGGACATTATTTTGAATACAATCTTGTAATGAATATCTTGTAATGAAATAATATTCCCTTAAATAAAATTCGAAACTCTTTTTCCTCCGAATTGTATTTGAAATTCTATTTTCCACTTCAAACTTGCAAGCTCGAGTAAGAACCATGTGGTGGTAAGGAAAAAGCCCAATTTTTTTAAGGACTTTGGTTAAAAGATTTAAACCTTTGATGTGATATTCTAATTCCACCATTTCTCCCCAAACTCTTGTATAAGGTTCAAAATACTGACTTGTAACCCAAATAACCAAGCCGACCATACTTTGACAAATGACAAAATCCAATGAAGCCCTAACGTTGAAATATGCCATATGATAGCCCCAAAGAAACCCAATTGCACTGATTCATGCTCATAGAATAAGACTTTACCCAACGAGCCTCTTGATCACCCCATGAACAGGGAAATAAACCCTAACTTCCAAAGATAAGTGCTAACACACTAAAGAAACATCTCACTTCATGAACCCAAAGAATTTTCTTGTCTAAGTTTAAAGCCTTTTGAAAGAAGTCCAGTTGAAAGTCCTGCATCATAAGTAACAATGAAGTTACCCCTCACATGATGAACAAGCCCAAGCACTGAGAACAAACCCAAGATATTTATAAGACCAAACCCCAAGATTTATCTGATAATTCTAAGCATAAGGAAGCAAACCCTTAATCCATGATTAATGAGAACCTCAGTTAAAAGCAACCTTCATAAGATGGAACCTCGATTTTAAAAACCATGGATCCAATGCTAAGCTTATTGATTAATGATGCATGACGTGTCAAATGACCTAATGTTGTGTATGCACATGAAATGAAGAGTGCAAGATGCATAAGCTAGATAAAGGCAAAGGGGTAGGACAAATTTGGGGTATTACAGCTGCCCCTATTTAATCGTCTTCAACCTGAAAGTACGATTGGCGCGTGCCTTTCGGAAGTTCAAGGTTGAAGATGATTAAATACCAATGTCGAAAATTTGTCCTGGGAGGAAGAGTAAGTGTTTTCTTTATTTATTTTTGTGTTATCTGCTGGGGAAAAGAAATTTGTTTTTTCAATGAAGGGACAGAGATTGGACTTGTAACGTGGCTTGATGCCAATACAAGACAAATGGTTGGTATGAGGAGACAACGGACGGGGTCTACGGGCGACCTACGATCCTAAGGTGACACATGAGAGTGATTTGACAGAGAACCTAGCCAAAGGGCGATCTCGGGTTCTAAGACAAAGTATATGGAAAGAACCTAGCCAAGAGGCAATCTCAGGTTCGACGATGATTTGAAGGAAGAACCTAGCCAAGAGGCGATCTCAGGTTCGACAAAGGTTTGAGGGAAGAACCTAGCCAAGAGGCGATCTCAGGTTCGACGATGATTTGAGGGAAGAACCTAGCCAAGAGGCGATCTCAGATTCGACAAAGGTTTGAGGGAAGAACCTAGCCAAGAGGCGATCTCAGGTTCGACGATGATTTGAGGGAAGAACCTAGCCAAGAGGCGATCTCAGGTTCGACAAAGGTTTGAGGGAAGAACCTAGTCAAGAGGCGATCTCAGGTTCGACGATGATTTGAGGGAAGAACCTAGCCAAGAGGTGATCTCAGGTTCGACAAAGGTTTGAGGGAAGAACCTAGCCAAGAGGCGATTTCAGGTTTGAGGATGAAAACATGGGTTACGACATGATGATTGTTTAGATAAACGACACGGACGAGCATCAAGAAAGTTTAAACACGGACGAGTGTTTGAATCAATACGGACGAGTATTGAAAGAAGATACGGACGAGTATCAAAGGTTAAACACGGACGAGTGTTTGAATCAATACGGACGAGTATTGAAAGAAGATACAGACGAGTATCAAAAGTTAAACACGGACGAGTGTTTGATTCAATACGGACGAGTATTGAAAGAAGATACGGACGAGTGTTTAGGGAACTGACTACCAGACAAGAGCTGGGTTTAGAACGACAAAGTGTATTGATTTTGCTTGTCATTGAAAAGGTGATGGTCCTCGACTGGGGATTTTGGGCATGATACCTTTTGTAGGGACGTACTGTTGTCCTTGAATAATTCAGGTCTTTCATGTAAGGTACCTGATATGGCTTATGCTTTGTATGCATGTTTGAATTTCTTTTGACGCAAAGATCCACTCTGATGGATCAGCTACGCGCTTTTGAGGATGCAATGTTATGTAATGATAACTATATGCAATGCGAAGAAATAAACTTCATGGGGATAAGAGAAGGTTTGTTGGGAACCACTGCTCATCACTAGGGATGTCAATATATATTGATGTTGGAATCTTGTAGTATCAAAGGTTGTTGGGGATACTGATAAAAATACACACTGGGGAGCTCTTGAAGACCAAAGATCGTTGTTGACTCTGATGAGGATTGAATTGCTGACGAAGCGAGTTTTTAGGTACACTGCTGGATTCTGAATCGTACCGTTTAAGGAAGAGATAATCTGACCAAACCTCCATACATCCTGAACTGTTGAGGGGGTGATAGAAGTGAATATGCCGAAGAATGGATATTGAACACCATGTGGATCCCTTTGAATACATGTCCCAAGTTTACGCACACTGGGGAATTATCTTTTGAATCACTTGGGGATAAGAGATGAGCATGGACACTTACGAGTGCCCCGATTTAGCTCTGCGAATGCCCCGGTTTAGCTCCATTGGGGATTGTGATACGGTGGGAGAACTGACTAGTGTTTTGCGTTTGTATTCGCACTTGTGCGGTTAGCAAGAGTCGCCACCGACTTTTTATTTTATCCTAAAGGAAAGGTTAAAAAGCACAGCAAAAACCTTTTGAGATATTTCGTGGGTTCGGGGGGTAGATTATGAAAAGGGAAGGTATTAGCACCCTTTTCATCCATGGTTATCCATGGGCTCTTAGTTACTTGGTTTTTTAGATCACTTGCCTTGTTTTTCGATTGCTTTGAAAATGGTGTGTGTGTGGGTGCTTTTTTGAAAATGTTTTTAGAAAAAGATGCCTTGTCTTAGGCAACTAATGTATTTGACTCGTGTTTGAGTGTTTTACAAAAGTGTGAATCTTTTCGAAAAGATGTTTTCAAATGTTTTTGAGAGTTTGTTTGAAAGTGTTGTGGATTGTGGTTTTTGAAAAGAAGGCAAGTGTTTTTGCAAGTTTGATCTCAAGTAACTAAGAGTTTTTGTCTACCCTATTGTACTCAAAGGTTTTTGTCATGTTTTAACCCTTTTTTTTTTAACAATTTTGTTCTACCATTGAAATTGGTAAACAATCTTGCGTTTAGGAAGTTTATTCGGGACGGGCACGGGTCATCGTATGGACCATGAATGCAATGATGCCAAGTGTCTTTGGCAATTTGTTTTGAAGGGACTATGATCATTCCGTTTAGGCAACACTTTGAGACTTATGATCATTTGATTTTGTTTTGCCAAAGATACTCGACGTGCAAGCATGGCCCATTTTGGAAGGCAACATGTGGGATTACCCTAGGGGGTGCAAGTGTGATTGTGTATTGATTACATGTATTTGTCTTGTATTAGGTTATCTAGCGTTTGATTTTATGTACATACAAACCCTAGGTCTAACCATGGTATAATTGAAAAGCTGTAAATTGCAGAATGTAAATCTACGCTATTACAAAATAATGTCCGGGAGTGGGGGTATAAATGTACAAGGGGATGAGACTTATAGTACCCAATAATTTACAACCAAATCGAATGTCGCGATCAAATGAATATCAAATATAAATGTAAGATAAACATGTGTATAGGGTAATGTGAATGTATTTGTGTAAGTGTACAAATGTATATGTATGTGTAAGTGTAAATGTAAGTATGTACAAATGCGAAATGTGAAGTTGAGCCGCATTAGGGTTTTGACCTAGATAATGTTTTTTAGATGAATCTTGATTTTTTTGTATGTTAATTATGTACAAATGAAGGGTTTTGATTAAGTGTTAAGTTTTAATTGGAGAGTATTTTAGTCAAAATGTTTGTGAATTTAAATATTAGAAAAATGAATGTATTTGAATTGGTATGTACAAATGTATATGTTAATTAAAAAGGAGTTTAATTTTAATTATGTATAAACAATGTATTATATGTACAAATATGCATTTTAATTAAAAAAAGGTATCTTCAATTTAATCATGTATATATAAAAAAGAAAAGATAATATATTCAAATGTATTTCAAAAAATGTTTTTTTAAGTTTAATTTGTGTATAAAAGTATATTGATTAAGAAAAAAGTATTTTCAAATTAATTTGTATGATATG